CCAGAAGGTGGATTTCTTTTTCTTCCTCCTCTCTCCTACTGCAAACTCCTCTGAACTTTGATGACTGGGATTTGTATTGGACTTGGTGTGGTGTAGTAGTTCATTAGGGGTAGACTTAAATTCTGTTGTGGCCCTTTGACAGCCAAAGGGAAAATATCAAAGTGTCCCACCGTCTCCTCCATCGAAAGGAAACTGCTGCTGAAGTGAAGGATGAACAAACAGAAAACAACAGTACAAACTGTGTCCTTTGTGGAAATGACCATTTAACTGGGGCTTAGGCTTGATGTGCTGCTTTGTAATGAATTTTTCAGCTGTCAAATATTTTTGGCCGAACACACAGGCCTTTGGCATCTCAGCCGCTCAGCGGTTCAAAGGTTTATGTTAATAATTTTAATGCAGAGGCCTTATGACCCTCTTGTTTGACTCCAATCCATGTTGACTGATTTATCAGTTTCTGACTTCGCTGTGAAGAGAGAGAGCACAGAGCACTGCTGTGCAAGTATATTGTGATGACAGTGTAATCACTGCCTGTATTGTGTTCAGAAGAGTGAGAGTCGCTGTTTGGTTACAGCAGCAGAGTCTCAAGGAGGAGTTTAAGGTGGATAGTTGGGGAGAAAGACACAAGATGGAGACACCAGAGGCTGGGGATCACACACATCCCGTCTGTGGTTAGGTTGAGACAACAGAAGGACTTTGAGTTCTGGGAATATGTTGTGTCTGAAGTCAAGATCATGGTCTTTCCCTGAACTTAATCAAGTGTTGAGAGAGTGGGAGCAACAAACACTTCAATCATGCTGCAGTCATTCTGAATGAAAGAATGATGCCGTGCAAAATTCTGATGAAAAACAAATTGGAAAAATTATACTTTAAACCGAAGAGACATCACAGTGAGTCATCTTCACAACTGAGCCCGTGATAAAATCAGTCTTGCAACCTTCATTTCACTTCTAATTAAACTCCAACAATGTCCTGTGGTGAACAAGTTGAAGTACTTTTTATTCCTTCGATGCACGGCTGATACATTTGTTAAGCTAAGTTTAGAGTTTCAGTTTATTCGTTGACATTGGAACTTTGCAGGTAAATTAGCACACGTGGGTGAGTGGGTCACCGATTTTATCTTCTGCATTAATTCCAAGTGGCATGTGAAGTGTTGCATGTGCAGATATTCGCGTCTGCGGTGGTTAATTTCAGGATGCCTGTATCCTTAAGTGAAGCCAAATGAAAAGGTGTGAGATGTGTAGGTGATCGTTAAATCAAAATACAGATGTTTTTTTGCCTCTTCACTGTGGTTTGTGGAATGTTGAACCAATTTAATGGTGTGTGCTTGCCAGCATATCCTTCTTAACATTAACTCAAGAACAATATGCAATAGAACCATGAACATAACTGATGAAAGATGATCTGATTAGATATTGGAAGACCTTGATGCGTCAGTGTGCATTTTAATGAGGATAAACTCAAACACAAGAAGGAGACAAGGACTACTTCTGAATTCTTTGCTAATTCCTGTGTTAAAGTAGAAGAGTGACCTTCAGCACATGAACCCACAACCTTGTCCTTAATGCAGCATTTGAACCAGATTGTCTTGTTCTCACAACCTGAACATTAAAACAATATAAACATACTCTGGATGATCTTGAACAGGTTTTCCCTGTTGAGGTGCTGAGCAGCGCCACAGTCATTCAAGATGTTTTACAGGTGATTAGCCTATTTACTCTCTTTGATTTCGATAGTACTTTTAATAGTTGTAGTACTTTACTAATTGAATGAATTATGTTAAGTGTCCATAGTTGTTACTGAAAGCTTTAATGTTTGGTGGTAAAGATGCGACCTGCGACAAAACACTGTATTCTTTGCCCACGATGGCCGCCTCCTTCTGAGAATGTGGTGTAGCGATACACAGCCCATGTAGCCCCGAATCCAGGTCTACAAAATCCAATCTACTTCTGTAGTATCCCTGAGTTAGAACGACGTTGCTAGGCTACGATTTAAAAGCAATCTTTTGGCCCCATTCCACATTGGAACCTTTTAGTCCTGTTTCAGAGGACAGCCTCTCAGACGGAGCTATCATTGCTCCGTAGCAGGGCCAGAAAGCCCTCGGCTAAAGTTGGGGTTAGCCAAGGGCTGTGCCAGGATTGTGCCATGTGCCTTGGACTTACAGCTGCCATTGCCCCTCCCTTAGCCCATGCACCAAGTCCGGGGGCCAGAAGCTGCCCTCAGCTGGGGGCTAATGGTGTGTGGACGCTAAGGCAACTGGATCCAGACAACCTCTCGACCTTGTTCTTCTTTGTGAACTGTGTTCACACATATGTTGACTCGTTTCCTATAACGTGCCAGTGTCGAACAACTTGCTTGGACTGTTCTTACTCCTGCTTGTATTAATAGTCCTTACAAACATAATAACTGGATGCAGGTGTTGAATTGACAAATAGGGCGACTACACCCGGATAATCAAATGTTTTTTTTATGCTGTCAAATAACTGTGGAAAAAATTATGTCACAACTTCTCAGAGCCCAAGGTGACTTATTCAAATGTCTGTTTTTAGCCAAGACCTTGAAACCACAAGTAAAAAAGGAACAAATAAACAAAGTAAGATTTAATGAGCTGGAGCTTGGCATTACTCCACTAATTTTAGTTCAAACAATAGTTTTGTTTATGATTTATTATGATTATATGAGTCACTAACTGATGATCATTTTAGCTCTAGAAAATATAACTGCAGTCCATTCAAGCAGAAATGTAAATGTGTATAAGAGTGAGTCTATTTTTATTTATTTATTTTTTACCAGTTTTTTACTTCTTACTCATTTTAAACTAAAAAAAAAAAAAACCCACAAAAGCAGAAAACAGCCTTGATCGTGAGATGAGCTGTCTCCTCCTGAGGCATCTGTCATGTTTCAAGCAAGCAGCAGATTTACTTAAATCCAAAGGAACTGAATAAACACACCGCTCTACCACTGTACATACACCTCTCACACATTTCAGCAGCAGTGTAGAGACAGATCTGCAGTCAGTCATGTTGACATTCATTGTTTTTCTTGTAAATTTACCTGCCAATGTGTCTGCTTAAGTGCAAAGAGCTGTGTGTGTGTGTGTGTGTGTCAGAGAGAGAGAGAGAAACGAGGTGCTGGGTAAGAAGTGGCACAACTACAATAAACCCTGATTGTTTGAAGCAGATAGCTATTAGCCGGCAGAGAGTGGGAGCCATTATGGTGGAAATGAAGCATTGTTAAAGAAACATAAGACTTCCCTCAGCGGATGATAGCCTCCTGAAGGGGTCTCAGATTAGATCTCACAGGTGCGCTTGGGAGGGAAGCGCTGATCATTACACTGGGAGAATTATAGCGGCTCATCAAACCCCCCTCAGGAATGAATATTAACTCTTATTACAAGGAGGATAGGGAGGGAGGAAACCACCGATGTGAGCAATTTGCCAGAATTGTTTGGATTGTACCGTTTGGCGTTCTACAAGAGCTTTTCAGAATGCCAATTGACACACGGGGGTGTAACAGCACTAATGCACTGCTCCGAATAAAGAAGCGTTGAAAGGAAATATGGCTAAAAATGTTGCTCTGAATAATGGAAAGACTTTGTTTTATGGAGTGTGATTGGGCGTCCTGTCTCTGTCCAGAAGGACGAGCAGGTTCTCTCAGCCTAAAGTCAATACTGAAGAACAGTGAAGCAGAGCAGAAAAAAGTGAACGATGAAGAGTGTGACTGAGTTTCAGATTTATTCTGTGGTTATCAAGTTTTTTTTTTTTTCTGCTGTCAAATTCACTGCAGTGAAATAAAAACTGCAAATTTCAAGGCAGATAAATCAGCGACTCAGTATTTTTGAAAAGTCATATTCAATATTCGGAATTCACTTGTCACGACAAGGTTGTTGTACAGCACATATACTGATAATGTTCATTCATTCTTCATCGGATCACACTGACAATTAATACAAACACTAACTTATAAGACATAGCTCAAAGGACAAGAGGGATGTTTTCATTTCACATTTCACCAAACAATGGTTCTGTAATCTATGTGAACAAAGGAGAAAACATGAATCAGCGTTCTAACCTGCGTTATAATAAGATCACTTGAACTGACTTTTGACTGTCATGTCTAACTTTTCATGCAGTGTGGTCTGCGGTGGGCTCTGTACCTGACAGGTACTTAAAGGCGACTAGATGTGTACACACAATATTTCTCAGGGGGTGAAAAGACCGGGGGAGCACCTGTACAACCTGTTCTCCGAACATGACTAAAAATAAGTCTTCCAAACTCTTCTGAGCAGCTGAACTCATATGCAAGATAAGAAGCTAACTGTCATCCAGGTTAGATAAAACAGGGCCAGGGTCTCTTCAAAGGATTCCATGATATACAGAATAAATATTTCACACCACATCTCAAGTCCTGACTCTTTCACACAGGGTCTGTTTGCGGTAATTGATTGACTATTGAATTATTTATTTTGTTTTTACCATGAAAACAGCAGAACTACACACAGCCTGTAGTAGATATATATATATTAGGTCCATGAACATAATGAAATGCAATTCATATAACACACAACATGGATGAAAAGTTATGTAATGTACCATTAAACATTAAAATGTAAAATAATAATGATGAAAAGTTGTGAAACAGAAGTTTATTTCATGCTTAGTTTTCTGATAAAATCTAAATATTTGAATAACTGACCTCAGTTAAAAACACCACGTTCAGTTTGTTAGAGACTGGTAGATTAAGATTGCTGTGGCACTATGTTTTTTGGCTTGATGGCCTCTTGGTTTCTGGCACTAGCACCATTCTCCATCATTATCCCACCGAAAATGGGATTGGCAGAGCGCTCGATGGCTGTGGGCGGAGAGCTTCAGAGCCACAGCAGAGAGCATGCAGGAGAGTGAAGCCAGAAATCTGTGCACGTGCTTGGCCAAGTGATTGTTAAGTCTGAGGTATGAATCAATAACCTTCTAAACATGCGTATTATTCTCTTTCATTCTCTGCAGCCTCTGCCTCAGAGGATGCTCTATCTATAACCCCGGGGGGCCCTCCGGAGAGCAGAGCCAGCTTGTACTCCACCACCCAGGACACGGACAGGAGACTCCCCGTGGTCACCACCGCCCCGCCTCTCAACATCCTGAACCACCACCCTCTCTACAGAAATCCCCCCCAACACCAGGCACCACTCAGCCCCCGTGGTCACTCAAACTACTTTGAAGAGAGCGAAGAATCCAGCTCACACCCGAGCACTCGTACCTTCCCCACCGTGCCATCCGGGACTGCAGACTCCACTCCACGTAATGCTGATGATAGGGCTTCAGGTGAGAGCGCCAAGGGCTCCAGCACGCAAACAGGCCTTGTCATGCATACAGCAGAAGCCACTTCTCACTCCAACACCCCCATTACAGCCACCAGAGTGGTTGTAAAGCATCCAGAACATGTTCCCACCGTCACCTCTGCCACTGCTACAAAGGAGAACCATGTAGCGAGGCCAGATCCGCCTGGACTGAAGCAGAATGTGAGACAAGGCAGTAACGAAGAGGAGACAACCACCACCACTATCACCACCACCACCGTAATCACCACAATGCAGAGTCCAGGTAAAAAAACATTCTTCACTTTTTTAATGTACCCATTGAGGTTTCATGTGGCAGCATCAAATCCTGCAGTTACAGGTCTGAGGCTAATGGAGACATCAATCACAGTACAGAAGAATAAATAAGTGTAATCTCATGATAGTTGAGATGATTGTTTGTTCCAGACAGGCTGATTTGATGATTTCTAAAACTGTTGATTTTCTGGCATTTGCTGTCAATGAGCAACTTGATTATCAAAGAGAAACCTGACATTGAGAGACGTCCAGAGATGGTCAGAGTGGCTGCAAATGTCTGGAAGGGTAACTAAGATAACCATTACAACTGTGGTGAGAAGAAAACAGCATGGTTGTGCACATGGCACACTTTGGGTCCACCGTTTGGCCACATGCATCTCTCTGTGACCTCTGTTTATCTTCTAATGACTTCCTACTAAATGTGAATTCATTTAAAACTGGTGACCTTCCCAGGGAATCCAGTTGAACCTTTGGGATGTGATAGAGCAGGAGACAATTACGCGATGCAGTCATGTCGACGTCGAGCAAAATCTCAGAAGTTTGAGGAGTCACAAAGAACTGAAGCTGTTTTGAGAGAAAAGGGAGAAACTGCCCATTATTAGTAGAGGGTTCCTAAAGGAGTATAAACTGCACCGCATTAGATTTTAATTCTGCATGTCTTTAATGTGAAAACACATACAATATTGAACAATCTGCTGTTTCTGTGTGTGTGTGTTGAAATGAGAGCCAGTTGTGATGATCTGTGTCTGGGGGAAGTGTGTGTGTGTGTGTGTGTGTGTGTGTGTGTCAAATCTGAAAGAAATATAGAAAATAAAGCTTCATTTTTCATTGGAGTGGTTCATTCCAACACAAAGCCAGACCACTCCTGCCAAGCTTGAATTGTTCCCTGGAGGAACCGCTCTGTAAATCATAACGCTGTCTACGAGGTACACTGGGTGGTTCTTGACTGTGCAGAAACGGTGACCCCTCCGCCTTTTCAGTTTGGGCAGGAAGAGGACATTGCCGGGAGCCATATCCGTCAGTTCAGGTTGTTTAAGCCAGGTGTCCTCTCTCTCTCTCTCTCAGATGCATCACAGGAGTTAGGTACTGCACAGTGTGATCCTATCCTGCAAAGGTCGAACAAAAGCAGCCTGTCTCAAATTAATAATTACAGAAAATAATTGACATTATGTACTCACATGTTTTCATCACACCAATTCAACCGTGTTGTTGTGCTCACTATACATTCTAAAATGCCTGTAAATGGCCCAAGATTCAGTGAACATGAATTGTCTCAAAAGTTTAGAAAAGAAAAAACCAAACTAGAATTAGCACCCTGCAGTTCTATGTCTCCGCCAACCAATGCAGTATAAGTCTACTCACACTCTTTTCCAGACACAAATGAGGTCACCATGACCTTGAACTTTGACCTCTGATTCACTGATCAGTATATATTTGAGTCTAAGTAAAAACTGCTCCAAATTTGAAGAGATTCCTTAAAGGGCCGACAAGGAACCTTCCAGTATCAGTATCATCTTGCAATAACAATCATATGTTGATTGTTAGTGCAAGATATTTTCACATTAGTATGTTCCTACATTTTGTTGCATCATTCATAATTCAAGGCTCAATTACACAATGATTAAAGTCTTCGTCAGGCTTGGGTTGAGACATGGCGAGATTCTACTGTTAATGAGCATGAAGGATGATATTGTGATAAGACGACAGAATGAGTCCGACCTCCTGGAGGTAGTATCATTTCTCACTGATCAGCTGGAGGGGCAACGACTGCTCCACACGAAATGAGAAATGGTGTCACCTTTCAACCTCCATTACATGAGATATTTCACATTATACCATAATTAGTTTGCTTCTCAAAGTATAATTTGTTGTTTTAACCATGACTGGTGCATAACCTGTGTTTATTATTGTAACCATAAGAACAATAAGTACTTTATATGTAAAATGTATTAAATCTTTTATTAGAAATATTAACCCATGAAATGTCGTCTTCTAAATATTTATTCAGAAGAATCTTTCAAAACTGAGATACATACCCACCACAGCAGTCCTCTGTCTCTATTGAGACTTCATCAGAGGATGTTTTCTCTTTTGAGTGCTCTCATGCTGTCTCCGCACACTAAACTAATGTCTTATCTATTTGCATCTCTCGCCACCACACAGCCATGGGGCTGAAATAAATTACAACAGCATTGCTGCATCACCAACCCTTAATCAAGAGGTCCAAACAGGGGCCTCAGCATAACACCCAGTAATTAAGAGAGTGGATGGAGAAAATAAATATCAGGCTGGAGATTTTCTTTATAGGAAGAGCAAGAAGGGAGTAGCTCAATTAATCAGCTCATCTGTGTGCAAGGTGACAGCGTGTACAAAGTACAGACATGCAGTACTGTGCTAAATCCACATGAAGCTAGGGTTGGAGGATGACTTCATTCAAGTTGTGTTTAATCCAGCAAATGTAATTCCTGAAAATCCACTTTCAGTTTTCCCATCTCCCAGGAAATATGGAAAAAAAAAAGTGGTATGTTCTACTCATAAACCATATAGGCTAATATATAGAAAATATCTCTAGTATGCCCACTATATCCAACAGAAATCCCATGTGATGTGATTTTGCAGTCGGTAACCATTGGAAACATATTTTAAATCAAATTAGTGCATATTTGCAGGAATATGAATGACTTCATTCCCATTGCTAGTAGACTTGTTGCTGTAGATGGGTCACATTCCAGTTATTGCTTCTAAAGACAACCATGATGAACACCATAACAGGCAGGGGTGGCCTCTGATAAGCTGACAGGACCAGAGGTTTTGGCAAGCAGGTCAATCTTAGAGGAGTATTGTGTTACTTTTGGATGACCACAACAGGGGTGGGGTGGCCAGGCCTACACAGAGTGAGCTCTTTCATACACAGGTTGGTGCTTCTTATACCCATGAACCCAAGTCAGGGGACTCAGCAATAAATGCTGAAGTTAAAGTTCTCTTAATTCTGGAACAAAATTAGGCACCGCTATGAGAACGAAGAAGTGTTTGGCTTGAGATTAACCAATAAGACTTTCAAGTTAAAAGGCTTATCCAGAATGACATCATGGTCTTTAGAACAACTGAAATAAGAAAGTTATGGTTGGCAGAAGATCATGGTTTGGAGAAACAGAAAACTGTTGGTGGGTTTTGGTCTCAGTGCTGTTTCAGGAAACGTTCATTGTTGCCATGAATGCATTTATCAGAAAAAAGCTTTTCCTTGTGTAGATGGTGATGAAAGGAGTACTAGCGGGTGAGTGTGTGTGTGTGTGTGTGTGTGTCCTCACTGCTTCCGTCATGGTCATCTCTATGCTGCTGTGTTTGTCCTTGCAGTTCCCTGCCAACTGAACCTGACCGGCCCAGAAGGATACATAGAGGCTCCGCCACAGTCCAGCTTGGCCTTTCACTCCACCGTGGACTGCAGCTACATCATCACTGTCTACATGGGCTATGGAGTGGAGGTCCAGGTAAGAACCAGGCTAACATCCATCAATTCAGTTCTTCTCCTGACACCCTGCAACAAAAATCTAATACAGATTTCATTATTATTAGTATTACAGACACTAAAAACAATTAACAATGCTATATAATGCATATATATATGGACAGTATGTGTGTTCTCAAATGCTATAATGATCATGTCATCACAAATCAAAGAGCAAAACAAGCTCTCATAATATATTGAATGTCCCTCTATATAAAACTGTTTATTCAGGTGGTGGTGGTAGTTCAGGGCCCGAACTGGTGTTCGCTCCGTCCCCACGTCCCCAATCAGAAAGGATGCAAGAGATTCAACCTCTTGTGTAACATGTTTCAGATTTTTCAGTTGCTCTTTATTGCAGAATGGCTTGTACTGTACACTGCCTACATCTGGCAATGTATTCATAATAGATGTAATGTAAGAACAAGCCGTTAGCAACACAATATACAGACTCCGTGTTTCTAAATTATTTACTCCTTCCACTTGTGTTCCACCATGTTTTAAAGGCCTGAAGCTGCTGCTTCACAATATGTAAACAATACCTGCTTTTTGTAAAGTATGTCAGAGTAGTCAGTGTCCTAATGTATGAACATTTAATACGTGACAGTAAAATGACACAGCTGTCATATGAACCTAGAGACTGTCTTGGCTTTCTAGTCAAACAATAATAGGAACAATACATTTTGCTGAAGCCTGAAGAAAAATGTGAAATAAAACTCAATATGTCATATCACCATTTCAGTTCTGCAGTATTCCAGCCCATAGATACACCTCCTCATTAATGAAAATCTCAGTGTGCCCTCTGCTGATTATATTTATGCACATACTTAAGTCAACTTCAAATCTCATGAGAGCTCCCAGTGAGACGGGTCCTAAATGGTCACATGACCCTACAGCTCCCGTTACTGTTGATGCACCTTCATGTCTATGGCTGTGTATTGTGTATAGTCTGTGTATGGCTTGTTGTAAGGCTCATTGAGGTGGTACTTAAGCAAGCACAACTCAACTGATCACCTGCAGTGCACCAACTGGCTCCACCACAGTGAAAAAAACCATACAACTTTTTCAGATTGGTGTGGTATGGTACAAATTCGGTATTGTTTTTAACCTTGGGATGTCACGGAGAAAATGTAGAATGGGAACAGGACGGATAGATCCATTACACTTGATTTACACTTGGAAAACTGCGAGCACACACACACACACACACACTCACACACACACACAAACACAATATGCTTGGCATACATAAATTCCCAACATAAGGTGTTGTGCATCTTGTTACATATTTATGATATTGAATTATTTATATCACAGAGCAGTTTGAAATAGAGGCATGGTTTAAAAAAAAATCCAACAAGTAACTGCAGCTGCTTTGAACTCAAATGCACAACTGTTAATTTACATCCAAAATTCCTGAGTCTTTAAGTGAAAACATTCTTTTAGAATGTGTCTTCAATCACTCAGACTCTTTGCTGTGGAACAGAGCTGTGAAACCATCTGTACAACGTGGATTGTCTTCCCATCGGCAGCCCTGCCACACTGAGTATCAGAACAAGAAGGGCTGTGGTCAGTCTAATGGTCACTTGAACAGAGCTTCGAAAGTCCTCTGCAGAGATGATGAACATCTCAGCAGCACTCCACCAATCAAGTGAGAAGCAAACCACTTTGCTCAGACTTTGCCAGATGGTATATAAAGGACTCTAGCCTGAGGGAAGATTCTCTGGCCTGATGAGACAAAACATATTTGGGCAGATCTCCAAAAACTATGTCTGGTTATCGCGAGGCACTGCTGATCACCTGGTTAATACCATCCCATAGGTGAAGCATGGAGCTAGCAGCATGGTGCTAGCAGCATTATGCTATAGCGGAGGCTTCTCAGCGGCACAGTGAGGGGGCCTGAGGGAGGGTTGAATGCAGCCAAATAGAGAGAGGTCCTTGATGAAAACCTACTCATATGCACATGACTGTCACAGTTCATCCATGCATCCATTCGTTCTCTGCCTTCCATTTCCATATCAATAAGTCTCCTGTTGTTGTAGACTGCGTCGGGCCCACTCGCTCTGCACTGGGCTCTCCCAGCTTTTAGCGACCCCGGTCTTCCCTACCCACTTACTAACCTGTTCCCTATTCCCCAATATGCAGATTTATACTGGAGCATTTCTACTCATTCTCTGCTAGATTCTATGATTTGCTCTCCAAACCACAGCCTTCTAGCCTTCTTACCTGTTTTTCACCATCTGTCCATTCTTTGCAGTTTGCCTTATGCCTTCTTCTTTTGCCTGATGACTGTTTCTCCCGGCCTGTTACAACCATTGCCCACATAATTAATTTGCTTCCTGTTTGCCCCTTTTTCTGGTCCACAGCCGTGACAAAGCTGTTAAACTGTATTTTGTAAATGAGAGATTTTCTTTTACTTTTTTTTAACAAAAACATTTGAAAAATTGTGCTTCACCTTGTAATTATGGTTTGTTGAGGTTAGACTGGTGAACAGTTTTACCCCTTTAAAATGAAATCTACAACTAAGTACAAAAAATAAATAAATGGGTCCAGCACACTAAGAAATAGCTCATACCAGCATGCAGCTGCTATGGAAGTGTCGGTGTCCAGTGTCACCACCACAAATGTTGTTTGGCCTGTAGACAATGGCAGGTGCTCCAATTGATTACAGCCACTCTATTCACTCTAGGACATTCAGTGTCATTTTAAAGCATCTGACCTTTTTGGGGAGGCTTATGTGATGATTTAAGTAGTGCCCTTGTCTGCACCTGAAACCCCCTCATTCACATGATTAACTCCAAGAGCTGTGCTTCCTGCTGCTCATAAAATATACAATGGCCATTACGCTGCTGAACCTCCAGATGCCTGGCCCAATATATTTAGGATAAAAAATGAATATGAGGTTGCAAATCATCGTCAATGATCTCCCCCAGCTGCTTCCTGTCACTGATGTGGAGAGGAAGGAAAAGGAAAAGAAAGGAAACGGGAAAACAGTGTCAGAGAACCATAGTGTGAAAGGAGTGGAGAAGTGGTTGAGGCCAAATAGAAAATGAGAATGAAAAGGCATGATGGGCACAGTAGGGTCTAGGTTTCCTTTTTAGAAATCAAAAAGGGAAGGAAAAAACTGAAAGTGAATAACAGGGATTTTGTCCGGAAGATCTGGGGCTTGAAAAATCTGTTCTCGTAGAGACTAGTAGCTTTTGATGTGTGTTCTGATTAGCAGTCATTAATCAGAAGCTAATACTGGACCACAGCTGGAAGGGACCAACTTCCTCCTGGCTTAGATCATCCATCTACTAGAATTGTGCTTATTCGAATCAAACCCAACACACTGTTTACGCTCAATGACAAACTTCAGGGTTAATGCAGGAAGCAAGTAACAGCAGAGTTAGGATTTCATCATAGACCTGCAAATGGTGTTTGATTTTTTTATTTACCTTAACCAAAATATCTGCATTTATTTAAGTCACCAAACCTTGAACATAAACTTTAAGTTGAAATCCTCCATGAACCTCAACCATAGCATATTTACTATCATAGCACAGGTAGTAATGGAGTTTTGTTGTCGGACTGGGTAGTCTTAAGTGTTACTAAGTTTAATACAAGCCACAACATACAGATATTACTCTCACAGAAGGAATGCAGGAAGTCATTTCACCAGTTCTGCAGCTCTGACCCACTCACTGCTGTGTGGTAGCAGCAGGACCCAGCATCTTCCAGACACGATGCACTGCCAGCTAATAGCTCAGTGATGGTTGTCCATCATTGTCGGTCATGGACCCCATGAAAGATTTGCCCACTACCTGCCGCATGTTTGTCTCCTTCTTCCTCCACAGGTTGGTGATGTGACTGACTCAGATCGTCAAATTACAATGTGAAGACAACATAAAATTGTTGTCATTGGATTTAAAAATATATTTTTTTGTCCTATAATTGCCTTCCTGTCTGGTGATAGGGTCGTCCAACCGTTATTCTCAAGAAAACAGATGGATGGAAACGTCACTCACTACTGATTGATTTGGACAAAACAAAATGGGGAATAGGCTAAAATTAGCAAAGTGTCAGGCCAAAGGAATGACAAGAAACAAAATTGGATGCATTGGATCTGATCATCAGACCACAAGAAACCCTCATTCCCCAGGTGAAATGACACCCTCGGGCAAAATAAAATGAGTAGGGTTGGAGTAAAATGTGATGAGTGGAAAATCAGTAAAGGAGAGTGCAGAAGATTGGGAACGGAGGGTGAGAAGAAAATCAATCGGGGAAGGAGAAGAAAAAGAATAGTGAAGCAAAAGATGAGAAGAGGCAAGGAAAGCATGCCAAAAGAAGGAGAGAACATCTGGATCCAATGAGGAGAAAATGAGGAGCAGAAAGAGGACAGGTTGGGGATGGAACAGGGAGGAAAGGAAAAGGCAGATGAACACCTGACAAACTGCATATATA